TATAAATCTTTGGTTTGTTTTTAGAAAATATTTTTGTAATTAAAAATATTCATTATTTTAGCCTTTCAAGTTAAAATCACTGTTGGTTAATTTTTTAAGATGTTCAAGTGAAGGCAAATCCATGTCTCTATCAAAATACAATTTCTATAAACTAACAGAAAATCAACTGAGAACATGGATCTTGAGGCTTCCCTTAAGATCAGTGAACCAGGGCTAAGATGAAATTTACACTCTGAGATCTTTTTAGAAGAAATTCCACATTTTGTTTATTTTATTTGTGCTCAGGAGAAGAGTTATGATTTATCAATGTCCTGTGGTGATAATATGCCAGAATTCTCCTCTCTGTAACAAGATTCTGTCAATTAACAAGCTTTGGATGAGAAACCATAGGACCATCTCCTCAGCAGGAGCAATATCTGCTACCTTTGTTGTTAATAATGTATTCTTCTCTTACTCTCAACCCCAAAGCTTCTGAATTCATAAGTCTAATTTTTTAAAATAAAATCCCAGGTGATCTAATTTTTTTCTGAAACAATAATCTTCCTCTACTTCAAACCTTATAAGAGACTTTCCCTTGCAGAGTTTGAAATTCACTGATGTGTATCTCAAACTTAAAAATGAGTGTAAGGAATGATTGTCTTACTTAACCTCCTCAGGCTAGAAGATGTCATACTGTGGTAAGTCAGTAGAAAAAAACAAATAACACTTCACTAAGAAAATCAGCAAAGAATCCCAAAGAAGAATTAGACTTTCCCTATGCTTCAACTTATCTGGAAATATATACAATTTTCATTAGCTTATATTAGGCAGAAAAGTCCAAAAGTATATTATTTTTCAGTTGAAAAAAAGTGGGTTATAATATTCTCTGTAAAAAATTCAAATTCTTGAATTCAAAACTAAAATTATTTTCTTCAGCTTAGAACAGTTCTGTCTTTAATATTTTTTGAAAAAATACAGAAGCAAATAAAAAATACCATCACTATAAAGAAAATTTATTCACATCTCATTCATTTTGGTTCTAATGTCACAACTTTGTAATTAACTTTAGGTTTCTTTTTCTTTTTCTTTTTTTTTGTGATGGAGTTTCACTCTTGATACCCAGGCTGGTGTGCAATGGCTTCATCTTGGCTCACCTCAACCTCCGCCTCCTGGGTTCAAGCAATTCTCCTGCCTCAGCTGCCCAAGTAGCTGGGACTACAGGCATGTGCCACCATGCCCAGCTAATTTTTGTATTTTTAGTAGAGACAGAGTTTCACCATGTTGGCCAGGATGGTCTCGACCTCTTGACCTCGTGATCCACCCACCTGGGCCTCCCAAAGTGCTGGGATTATAGGCGTGAGCCACCGTGCCTGGCCAACTTTAGGTTTCTTATTTAAACTTTGGAGTCACTCAAAATGCTCATCATAATCTTCAAGTGATGATACTCAGAGTCCTGGATGTCTCAGGATCTCCTATGAGTTTATGGATCTGTGGGTTTCCTAAATTCTAACCAAACCCCGAGAACACTGCATGTGTCCATGCTGCATTTCATTCCATCTTCACCTTACAATTTCGAACAAGGTTCCTTTGTCCGTGTGTTAATTCTGCTAAACTATGTCAACTACTTCTTAGTTACCCGGGGTAATGTATTTGCGTTCACTCATTTCAGGTCTTTTCTAAGACTCACCTGAACATTGTCTTAACATGTAGTTTCAACACTTGCCTGATTTCTCCACTCCAGCTCTGCCATTTCCAAAGCTGCACTGGAAAAACAGAGATTTGGACCAGTGATTATTAATTATTTTTAATGGAAAGGAACTGATTCTATACATTCATAATACAATTATCCTTTTTATCATATAAATATTAAATTCCATTTCCCCTATATATGATACATTTTGACGTGCCTAATTTAAAATAATTCTGATTTTGTCATATTTACCCATTTAATTGTTAAATGTGTGCATCATTCCTACTTTCAGTTTAATCTATATACTGTCTCCTCATGATTTATTGTTGAGATTCTTACCATGTAAGATAATAGTCCTTATCCCCAATTGTTCAAAATATAAACATGTCAATATGGGAGGGTTTTTTTTTTTATTAAGGTGGCCTGGAGGATCCTTTGGAGTGAGTGCAGAACCCACTTTTAACAGGACCAAAATCCAGAGGCACAGGTTTCTCAGTCATTCTTCCTATGGAATTCTCTTAAAATAGAATGATAAAGCTACCTTTGTATGACTATATCTCACCGTATTAGTCAATGTCCTCCAGAGAGCTAGAACAAATTTATATATATATATATATATACACACACAAATATTTATATTGTATATGCACGAATATCTTTGAATACATCTATACATATGTAAACAGATATATAATATACACGGATGTATATTATATATACACATATATAGTATACATGTGTATAACATAGACATATATATATGTATATCATATCTATATAATATTATGTTTTACATATTATATGTATGTTATATATAAAGACATAGATATTTGTATATGTATATTTAATATATATATACACACATAATATACATATATAAACAGAGAGAGATACGGAATGAGAGGAATATTTCTTTTACATTAAGGAATTAGCTTACAAGATTGTGGGAACTAGTAAGTCTAAAATCTGTAGAAAACACTGGAAACACAGACAGGTGTTCAGGCTGTAGTCACAAGGCAGAATTCCTCCTTCTTTTTTTTTTTTGAATTATACTTTACGTTCTGGGGTACATGTGCAGAATGTGCAAGTTTGTTACATAGATATACATGTGCCATGGTGATTTGCTGCATCCATTACCCCGTAATCTACATTAGCTCTATTTACTCTTCAGGCCTTCAACTGAATGGATGAGGATATTTTTTTAATTAAAGTCAATAGATAGTAGATGTTAATCACATTTACAAAATACATTCACAGTAACACCCGACTACTGTTTGACTAAATAATTGGGGGCTATAGTCTAGCCAAGCTGACACACAAAACTATCACATTTACCTCCTGATTTTTCCTGGAAAAGTTGTTTTGCAGAGTAGTCTCATTTAAATTTCATTGTCTTTTAATATTCAATCATGAATTATTTAATTATTATTCTTTTAACAATCACTTTTGATTTTCTAAGAAATGTCATTAATATCATCAGCCATAAATTACATCAGGCAACTTAAGCTCTCTGAAGTCTGGTTTCTTTTAACAAATGAGAGATAATAATATAATAAATGGAAATAGTAAAACATGTCTTGGTCACTATACAGTATTTATTTGAAAAAGCAAGTGAGAGACACATATATAAAAAACAAAATGATATAGAAATACAAGGACTTAACATGACCTCTAGACTATTTAGACTTTTGTCTTTTTGCTTTGTTTGCTTTTTCTTTTTCTAGCATCTTTTGGATTAAGCAACTTGAAAGTGGACTCTCTGCGACCTCACCTAAAGCTCTCCAGATTCCCCAAATTTACAGGGTCAAACATTCCAGCTGAAAGAGAGAACTTTCAGCAACCAAGATTCTGTTATTAAAAAGTGGTGAAGGGGAGGAAGGCAACAAATCACACTGCCATGCATGCACCTATGCAACAATCTTGCATGTTCTTCACATGTACCCCAACACCTAAAATGCAATAAAAAAAAAAGAAGACATTATGCAGCCAACAAACATATGAAAAAAAAGCTCATCATCACTGGACATTAGAGAAATGCAAATCAAAACCACACTGAGATACCATCTGACTCCAGTTAGAATGACGATAATTAAAAAATCAGGAGACAACAGATGCTGGAGCAGATGTGGAGAAATGGGAATGCTTTTACACTGTTGATGGGAGTGTAAATTAGTTCAACCATTGTGGAAGACATGTGGTGGCTCCTCAAGGATCTAGAACTAGAAATACCATTGACCCAGCAATCCCATTACTGGATATATACAGATTACAAATCATTCTGTTATAAAGACACATGCACATGTTTGTTTATTGTGACACTGTTTATGATAGCAAAGACTTGATACCAACCCAAATGCCGATCAATGATAGACTGGATAAAGAAAATGTGACACATATACACCATGGAAAACTATGCAGCCATAAAAAGGGTTGAGTTCATGTCCTTTGCAGGGACATGGACGAAGCTGAAACCATCATTTTCAGCAAACTGACACAGGAACAGAAAACCAAACACCACATATTCTCACTCATAAGTGTGTGTTGAACAATGAGAACACATGGACACAGGGAGGGGAACATCACACACTCAGGCCTGTAGGGGGTTGGGAAGCTAGGGGAGGGTAAGCAGGGTGTGGGGGGATTGGGGAGGGATAGCATTAGGATAAATACCTAATGTAGATAATGGGGGATGGATGCAGCAAACCACCATGGCACATGTATAACTATGTAACAAACCTGCACGTTTGGCACATGTACCCCAGTATAATTTTTAAAAAAAAATTAAAAATAAGTAAAAAAAAAAAAAAAGTAAGGTCTAGAGAATGGACTTCCAGCTGTTTTTGGCTTTCACTCTCATATCAAGGCAGTAAGGAGAATAGAAAACAGGAGTGTATATTCCATCCTCAATTAAGTTAGGACTATATGAAACCTAGAACTGCTAAATAAAATGAAGGGTTTCTAAATTGATGAAGTGATACAGAGGTGAAGGACACTGTAGAAATAAGTCACCTCCCGTTGCAGATCTTTAAAGAACACTCTTTTCCCACACAATACAGACACACAGGACTTTTAATTTTTCTTCTTCTTTTTTTTTTTTTACAAGCCCTGGTTTAGATTTTAAAAGAAGCAATGATTACAGAACAAAATCAAATAATAAACCTCTTACACATTTTTTTAATTAAACAATTTATTGGCGAAGTGGGAAGGTGCTGTGGGATAAATTCTGCACTGTGCTCAGTTCAGTTAATACTCTGAGCTGCAGATGAGAAGTATGGCTTAAAAGGACATATGTAACACACAGTGCTTGAAATATGTTGAACATTCAAGCCAGCCTGAGTTCTTATTAACATGAGGGAGAACTAAATTTTAAAACAAAGCTAACAAAATGAAAAAAGTGAACCATCACATAAGCTCTGCAAAGGTATTACACAATAAAAGTAGGAAAATAATGTGAATACATACACAAACACACACAACAAATCATCAGAACAATAATGTTGCTACCAATTGGATAAAATCCTTGACCAAATATCTCTCCAAGAATAAAAAAAAGTAAACTTATTTCTTTTCTTTTTTCTTTTTTGAGACAGATTCTTGCTCTATCACAGGCGCCAGGCTAGAGTGCAGTGGCGTGATCTCGGCTCACTGCAACCTCCACCTCCCAAGTTCAAACAATTCTCCTGCCTCAGCCTCCCTAGTAGCTGGGACTACAGGCATGTGCCACCACGCCCAGCTAAGTTTTGTATTTTTTAGTAAAGACGGGGTTTCACCATGTTGGCCATGATGGTCTCAATCTCTTGATCTCGTGATCTGCAAGCCTCGGCCTCCCAAAATGCTGGGATTACAGGCATGAGTCACTGCTCCTGGCCAAATAAAATTATTTCTAATATGAGAAGACAAAGTGGATGTAGAAAAGCATCCTAAAGAGAGGACAAAATAATGGATGGCTATAAAAATTAAACATATATTTTACAAATGAAAGATGAATTAAGCATTTGACTGTAGATATGGCTGAAATTATAGTAAGACACTTTTTCATAGTCCAAGTAGCATAGAAAATAAAACCTTTTGATGTGCTGTTGCAATCGGCTTGTCAGTATTTTATCGAAGGTTTTTGCATCTATGTTCATCATGGATATCAGCCTGAAGTTTTCTTTTCTTGCTGAGTCTCTGCTGGGTATTGGTATCAGGATGATGTTGGTTTCATAAAATGATTTGGGAAGGATTCCCTCTTTTTGGATTGTTTGGAATAGTTTCAGAAGGAATGGTACCAGCTCCTCTTTGTATGTCTGGTAGATTTCAGCTGTGAACCCGTCTGAACCTGGGCTTTTTTTGGATGGTAGGCTCTTAATTGCTGCCTCAACTTCAGGCCTTGTTATCGGTTTGTTCAGGGTTTCGGCTTCTTCCTGGTTTAGGCTTGGGAGGAGGCAAGTGTCCAGGAAATTATCCATTTCTTCCAGGTTTATTAGTTTATATGAATAGAGTTGTTTGTAATAATCTCTGATGATGGTTTGAATTTCTGTGGAATCTGTGGTGATATCCCCTTTATCGTTTTTTATTGCATCAATTTGGTTAATCTCTCTTTTCTTTTTTATTAATCTGGCTAGTGGTCTATTTTGTTGGTCTCTTCAAAAAACCAGCTCCTGGATTTATTGATTTCTTGAAGGGATTTTTGTGTCTCTATCTCTTTCAGTTCTGCTCTGATGTTAGCTATTTCTTGTCTTCTGCTAGGTTTTGAGTTTTTGATCTTGCTCCTCTAGCTATTTCAATTTTGACAATGGGGTGGCAATTTTAGATCTCTCCTTGCTTCTCATATGGCACTTATTGCTATAAATTTTCCTCTAGAGACTGCTTTAAATGTGTCCCAGAGATTCTGGTATGTTGTGTCTTCATTCTCGTTGATTTTGAAGAACATCTTTATTTCTGCCTTCATTTTATTTTTTATCCAGTCTCCTATTCAATATAGTACTGGAAGTTCTAGCCAGAGCAATCAGGCAAGAAAAAGAAATAAAGGGCATTCAAATAGGAAAGGAGAAAGTCAAATTGTCTCTATTTGCAGACAACATGATTGTATATCTAGAAGGCCCCATCGTCTCTGCCCAAAATCTGAAACTGATAAGCAACTTCAGCAAAGTGTCAGGACACAAAATCAATGTGCAAAAATCACACGCATTCCTATACACCAATAACAGACTTAAAGAGAGCCAAATCAAGAACAAACTGCCATTCACAATTGCCACAAAGAGAATAAAATACCTAGAAATAAAACTAACAAGGAATGTAAAGGACCTATTCAAGCATAACTACAAGCCACCGCTCAACGAAATAAGAGAGGACACAAGCAGATGGAGAAACATTCCATGTTCATGGTTAGGAAGAATCAATATAGTCAAAATGGCCATACTGCCCAAAGTAATTTACAGATTCAACGCTATCCCCATCAAGCTACCGATGACCTTCTTCACAGGACTGGAAAAAAACACTTTAATCTTCATATGGAACCAAAAGAGAGCCCGCATAGCCAAGTCAATTCTAAGCAAAAAGAACAAAGCAGGAGACATCACACTACCAGACTTCAAACTATACTACAAGGCTACAGTAACCAAAACAGCATGGTACTGGTACCAAAACAGAGATATAGACCAATGGAATAGAACAGAGGGCTCAGAGGCAACACAACATATCTACAACCATCTGATCTTTGACAAACTAGACAAAAGCAAGCAATGGGGAAAGGATTCCCTGTTTAATAAATGGTGTTGGGAAAGCTGGCCAGCCATGTGCAGAAAGCAGAAACTGGACCCCTTCCTGACACCTTACACTAAAATTAACTCCAGATGGATTACAGACTTAAACATAAGACCTAACACCATAAAAACCCTAGAAGAAAATCTAGGCAAAACCATTCAGGACATAGGTGTAGGCAAGGACTTCATGACCAAAACACCAAAAGCATTGACAACAAAAGCCAAAATAGACAAATTGGACCCAATCAAACTCCACAGCTTCTGCACAGCAAAAGAAACAGTCATTAGAGTGAATCGGCAACCAACAGAATGGGAAAAAATTTTGCAGTTTACCCATCTGACAAAGGGCTATCCGGAATTTACAAAGAACTAAAACAGATTTACAAGAAAAAAACAAATAAGCCCATTCAAAAGTGGGCAAAGGATATGAACAGATACTTTACAAAGGAAGACATACATGAGGCCAACAAAAATATGAAAAAATGCTCATCATCACTGGTCATCAGAGAAATGTGAATCAAAACTACATTGAGATACCATCTCACGCCAGTTAGAATGGTGATCATCAAAAAATCTAGAGACAACAGATGCTGGAGAGGATGTGGATAAATAGGAACAATTTTACACTGTTGGTGTGAGTGTAAATTAGTTCAACCATTGTGAAAGACAGTGTGGTGATTCCTCGAGGATCTTGAAATAGAAATTCCATTTGATCCAGCAATCCCTTTACTGGGTATATATCCAAAGGATTATAAATCGTTCTACTATAAGGACACGTGCACACGAATGTTCATTGCAGCACTGTTTACAATAGCAAAGTCCTGGAACCAACCCAAATGCCCATCGATGATAGACTGGACAGGGAAAGTGTGGCACATATGCACCATGGAATATTATGCAGCCATCAAAAATGATGAGTTTGTGTCCTTTGTAGGCACATGGATGAACCTGGAAACCATCATTCTCAGCAAACTGACACAAGAGCAGAAAATCAAACACCACATGTTCTCACTCATAGGTGGGTGTTGAACAATGAGAACACATGGACACAGGGAGGGGAGCACTACACACTGGGGTCTGTCAGGGGGAAATAGTGGTGTGACAGTGGGGGGTGGGGAGTTGGGGAGAGATACCATGGGGAGAAATGCCAGATATAGGTGATGGGGAGGAAGGCAGCAAATCACACTGCCATGTGTGTACCTATGCAACAATCTTGCATGTTCTTCACATGTACCCCAAAACCTAAAATGCAATAAAATAAATTTAAAAAAAAAGAAAAGAAAACCTAATGGGGAAAATATGTGCTAATACTTTAACATGTTTATTTCAGCATAGCAAGAGAACTTTGATAGATTATAAAAACAAAATACATGATAATGAACTACTGAGTTTCACAGAAAACATAACTGGTTGTTTGAAAGTATAGGGAATCTACAGAAAGGCTCTCTGAGTGTACTATTCCTCAGAACATTCTGACATGGAGAAAGAGAAAGAGAAAGAGAAATCGATCTGCTCGTTCTTCCTAATCTTTCTTTTCCTGTTGGCCAAATTATGCTCATGGGATAATTACTCTCCTTTCCTTCTGATTTGTGCTACATGACCGCACCAAGAAGGCTCTGGGTAAGACAGATTGCATGTCTTATGATGTAGACACTTCATTTGATTCTGGGAGGAAGAAGAGGAAACGGTTGTCATTAATCCAGTTGGTTGAGTTTATATATGAGAATTATTTCAACCTACTATGGCCAGAGGAATGGAAACTGGATATCCTCCCAGGGAATAATGAGATAACCATAGGCATTAATAGATGGGCATGCCTTCAAAACCTGGAAGGCAGGTGTGGCCAGATAAATCTGGGAAAACTCATAAATTAAGTGCAAAAAGTAAATCCCTGTCACTACTCAGATCTGGTATGCTCTATGATATCTGATATTGTATCTGATAAATATCTGAGAAGGAGATACTCTCACTTCGTTCTTGAAAGGAGCAATAAAAATGGTTAACAATGGTTAAAAATAAGATACAGTCTTCAGTGCTACAGCTCTCTTAGGTCTACAAAGCATCATTTATGCCTCCATAAGCCATTCTACATTCACCATATCTGCTGGTAGCATTTAGCCTCTCCTGGTTGTTTGCCTTATAGGATAGAATGAACCTTCATACTCATGTTTTCTGAAGCTTTAGTTGCCTTGCTCTTGTCAGGCTGCAGTTGTTGAATGGCCCTATTCACAGTTATAACTGAAATTGGAAACATCAAGAGATTTTCAGTGAATCTACTGAATTCCAGATGTATTTATTTCTTTATTCTGTGTATTAGCAGCCCTATCTCCTAATAAATAGGGTCGATTATCTCAGCAAGAGCAATGACTCCTTTCTTCATTCTCTGGTTTCCTGGTATGAGTCATAGTCTAAGAAAAACCCTTACTGTCTTTCTTAGCCAAATTTTATATTTCTCCTACCCACTACCATAACCTAAAAACTAGAATCTCAAAACTATCATATCCTAAGAATAAATGGAAGAGAAGAACAAATTAGAAATGTTTAGGCAAGGTGTTTCTGCTACTTGTTCTGAGGCCTGCATATTCTAGTGACACAGCA